TTATTTGATTTTAAAAAATATTTTTTGAAACCTATGTGTATTTTATTCTTTTTGAAAACCCGCTTTTAATAACCCGATTATTGTACAACTAATTATTTGATTACACATTGCGAATCATGTCACAGGAACTGTACCCACGATCTACAACATGTTTATTTTATTAACAAGATTAAATTATGGTTGGGTTACATAAATGTACCCCCGGATTTTAGAAATTAAGCATCACAACTACGCCACGGGAACTGTACCCGTAGCTATGACAATTTATTTAATTAACGCACCTAAGGCAAACTACAAGAGTTTAGGGTATTTTTCTACACTAGTTAAGATATCGATGTGAGGGCCATAGACTAGGTGATTGGACGGCACACCTCAAATTTATTAAAGGAAAGTATTCAACTAAGTGAACTACGGATATTCATATTCAAAAACTAATTTGAGATTAAATATCACAACCACGCCATGGGAACCATACCCATAGTTGTGATGATTTAATTACGTGCCTAAAGCAAACTACGATGTTTATACCCCACTTAATCCGTTCTTATCAATAAGGTACTTGGTCAAAATTCTTGTTCATTTTCGTCCACCAAAACAACAATATCATCATGCTTTGGCAAAAAAGAATCGTAAAACTCTTTAAAATAAAATAAATAAATACAAGCATGTTCAATTCTATCTTATGAGATTAGAAGCTCAAAATTAATAACTAAAATCCAAACATCACATATCTAGAAAAAACATTGCAACAGAGAAATAAAAACAACCGCTATAACATTAGCGTCCAAACAACTGGTCCAAACAATAGTAACCAATAAGGTAAGGTGAAGCAATCGTAATTTCACGTTCAACCGGATCCAGAGAATACAAACATAAGAAAACATACCTCTAATTCGAACCGAACTGCCACGAATTGAAATTTGCCTTTGATTAATGAAAATTCCGACAGTTACAAGGGCGTAAAGAAACCACAGCCACAATCAAATCCGAAATAGCAATCAAAATCGTCTGAAACTGCGAACCACAATTTTAAACCTCGACGAACAGTGACGACCTTAGAACCGAACTTCAAACGAAGTCCATGAAGAATCGAAATAGAAATTGAAATGATTTTCGTTTTTGTGTTTCGAATTTTAAACCCAAATTGAAACGAAGAAGAACTAAAATTGACGGAATGGAGGACAGTGACGGACGACGGTGGTTGTCGGAACGGAGGTGGAGTTGGATGGTTGTTTGGCTGGTCGGTAGCGGTTTAAAAGGTGTGTTCGATGCCGGGAGTGGGGTTCTCTTAAGAAGTTGTGGTTGTTGTTGTTGTGTAGGTTAAGGTCTTGTGTCTTAGGTCTTGAAATGTGAAAGAGAAGAAGCCATGGCTGGAAAGGTTTTACATGTTTGCTGGTCTTCGGATTACAGGGTCTGCCCATTGGTGCTGCTTCAGATCTCTATGTGTGTATAGGTCTGTGTAGGTCTTGAAGAGAGGGTCGTTTGGGGTGGGGCGAAGAAGATGGATTTCAAGGGGTGGGGTTTGATTTTTGTGAAAACGGCGTATCCCTCCACTAGGTCTCTAGCTCTTGTTTTTATTAGGGATTCTAGGTTAATTTTATTTGTGCAGTGTGCTGATGGGTTAAGGTTTGAGCTTTTGGGTTAATGGGCTAAGATATTGGCTTAATTGGGCTAAAAGCAAGACTAAATTAGTCCAAAAAATTAATTCTATTCCCTCCTCCTTTTTTGTACGTAAAAATAATATAGCAAACAAGATAAATTATTAAAAATACTACTTAATTTTACTTAAGAAAATAACTATTAAAATAACACTAACCGTTAAAACAAACCTATTTTTTGTATTTTTTTCAAGATTAAAAATGACTACAAAACATTAATGAAACTATTTTTTTGTAATTTTTATTTTTCGTGATAAAATAAAGTAAAAGGGCTGAAACTAATTAAAATAGCGATATTAGGCCCAAACTAAATATTTAAATGCTAAATATGTAAAATCTTGGGGAAGGTAAAAAATGACATGTCTACACTTTTACCTTATAATATTGGCACGACATCACCCCTCGTGCATTAACACTCTCAAAAATCATATACGGCATCATCCTTCGTGCTTTACACTCTTCCTCACCCAAGCAACAATCACAAAGCAATTTGGGAAAGGGAATCAACAATATTTCAAAAAAATCCCGGCAAGGGAACAATAGCATAACAACAATATCCCGGCAAGGGAAATAATATCATAAATAATAACGTCCCGGCAATGGAGATAATATCAAAAGCAATAACATCCCGGCAAGGGAGACAATATTATAAACCTCTTCTCTTTTCCTCAATTTCTTCCCAACTCATTTCTCAACTTGAGCCAACGCTCTACAATGATCAATTACCAACAATACTTCCACAAGCCTTGTTCAATAAAATAAATCATCATATAAAGCATGAACAATACGAAACGGAGTCACATTAGTCATAGTATAAGACTCACGGGCATGCTTGACACCAACGTATAGATACTCGTCATCATGCCTATATGTTGTACTCAACAATTAAAACATAACAAATAAGACACGACTCATAATCCCTCAAGCTAAGGTTAGACCAAACACTTACCTCGATGCTACGAACACAATTCAAGCCTCAACTACCGCTTTACCTCTTATTTCTACCACCAATTCGCTTGTATCTAGCCACAGTTTACTTAACGATATCAATAAATGCTAAATGAATCAATTCTAATGCATGAAATTAGGTTTTCCAATAATTTCTCCAAAAAGTCAAAAATTGACCCCGGACCCACATGGTCAAAACCCGAGGTTCGAACCAAAACCCGATTATCTATTCACCGACGAACCCAAATATGTAATTTGTTTTGAAATCGGACCTCAAATCGAGGTCCAAATCCCAAAAATTTGAAAATCCTAGGTTCTACCCAAAACACTCAATTTCCCCCATGAAAACATTTGATTTTGAGTTGACATCATGTAAAAAGATGGATTAGATTAAAAGAAATGAGTAAGAAATGACTTACTAATGATTTGGAAGAGTAGTTGCCTTTGAAAAATCGCTCAAAGATGTTTTAGGTATGAGAGAGTTTGAAAAATGAGAGATTTTCGGCTAAGTTATGATTTAGCAGGTTGCAAATGTCACAATTGCGACCAGGGTTCGCAATAAGGAACCTGCTGACTTCGCAAATGCGAAGGATACGTCGCATTTGCGACCATGGGCAATTCCGGTCACCTTTGCATTTGTGAGGGACCTGTCGCATTTGCGACATCACAATTGCGAGAAAAGGTCGCATTTGCGACCAAGTCCTGCCCAGTCCAGTTTTCGCAAATGCGAATGTTTGTTCGCAAATGCGAGCTTGCAATTGCGAAGCGTGCAGACCTGCAACACACAGTAGTTTTTCCTAAGTTCAAAACACTTTATGGCCTATCCAAAACTCACCCGAGCCCTCGGGACTACAAACCAAACATGCACGCAAGTCCAAAAATATCATACGCACTTGCTTGTACGATCAAATCATCAAAATAACATCAATAACTATAAATTTAGCATCAAAATCAAAGAAAACTCTCATGAACTCTTAAGTTCCATTTTTAACAACCGATGGTGCGATTCACATCATATCAAGTCTGTTTCTTACTCAATTTTACAGGCTCAACTTAAATGCCATATAAGACCTATACCGGGCTCCGGAACCAAAAGACGGGCCCGATACCATCAAATTCAAGCACATTCCAATTTCTAAAAACTCTTATAATTTCAGTTAAATAATTTCTTTCAAAAATTCATTTCTCGGGCTTGGGACCTCGAAATTCAATTCCGGGCATACGCCCAAGTCCCATATTTTCCTACGGACCCTCCGGGACGGTCGAATCACGGGTTCGGGACCGTTTACCCAAAATGTGTACCGAAGTCAACTTAAATTCATTTAAAAAGCAAAATTTATCATTTTTCACATATTTTCATATAATGGCTTTCCGGATATACGCCCGGACTACGCACGCAAATCGAGGTAAGACAAAAAGGAGGTTTTAAGGCTCGTAACACAGAATGTATTTCTAAAACAAGTGATGACACCAACATATTATGCTGGAATTTTTTGTTTTTAAGGGTATTTTTGTTTAGATTTTATCCTTACGTGAAAAGTGGCTAAATTTCGATTACTTTTGAAATTATGTCTATTTTTTAATTATCAGTTAGAAATATGGCTATTCCCTCCCCCCCACCACACACACACAAAAAGGTCTTGTTTAGCCACTGCGTCGTCACATTCATTGGGTTAAGTTAATTGTTTGATTCTAACGTTTTTATTTTGTTTTGTTTTGTTTGGAAACAAACTTTTATTTGATAAATATTATATTTTCCTTATAGGTTAAACATTGTATCCAATAATGTAAGTTTATTTTGCACTCTTTTAATAGGTTGTTTGGATTACTTGGTAATAATAATAATAATAATAATAATAATAATAATACTTAATGATTATTATTATACTTAATGATTCCTCACCAAATTGATTTTAGCCCAGGTTCTCGGGCAAGAAAATATATTCAAAAAGAATTTTTTAGTGATAAATGGAGCCAGTTTAAAACTTGGTTTTTCGATGCTTATAGCAAAGATGATTTAAATAATATTTCTCAAGAGTTCTACGAAACTTGTGCTTTGCATAATCAAATTATGTATTTTGTTCCCTGGTTTATAACAACTTATTTACCACTTTATATAAAGGTTTTAGAAAGATCTTATAAAGATGGGAGTGACAATATTACTAAAGTCATTTACCCTCCTCAAGTACCCTTTATTTTACCTAATAATACTGGTATCACATTCGCTGCTTTCCAAAAATTTATTGATGATAATGTTGCAGCTGTTAGTATCGCAGAGATCAATAAATTGATTTCTCAAAATAATTATTTGGGTTTATATGTAAAAAATTTGGGAGAACATATCGGTTCTCTCAATAAAAAAAACTTGATGATTTGATTATTTTAATAAAAGAAATGAGTACTAACAAAGGAACAATTGATATTGCCTCCACGTCAGGAAGCAAATCAAATGATCAAGCTGTTCTTACTCATTTTCAAAGACCTCCTGAGATTCAGGATTTCAAATTTAAATCTCTTGAGGACTTAACAGAACTCCTTGATAAAAAGCTTTCTAGTTTAAATATTAGACCAATTGATTTATCAAAAAAATTTGCTGATAAAATTGAGACTGTTTCTGATTATAAAAATGAAACGTGGTCAGAGTTTAATAAACTCAAGGGTTTTATTAAATCCAATAGTAGGTATGCTGACAAACCCAGAATGCAGACTTACTATTATTCCCGTCCTACTCCTCAAGATGTGTTGATAGAGGAACGCGATTGGAATCAGACCAATACGCCTTACAGCGGTTCCGAAATTTATGAATGGAATCTTGACGGTTTAACTGATAGAAAATTAAATATTCTTGTACATAGAATGCTTATGTACGCAACTATCTGTAAAAGTGTTAAAAATATAGATAGAACTATTTGCGAAATGATTATTGCAGGCTTTACTGGCCAACTTCGTGGTTGGTGGGATAACTATTTATCCGTTGAAGAAAAAGTCGTGGTTATTAATGTTATAGCCACTGACGAGGGAGTTGATAACTTAGGCATGGCTCTAGTTAAAAATAGAGAAGATGTTGTTTATACCCTTGTTCTTACAATTCTAGAACATTTCAATGGTAGATTTACTAGTCAGCATGAGACCGTCCGTACTCTACTAAATGGGTTTAGATGTAAAACCCTTAGTGAATTCAGATGGTACAAAGATACCTTTATGAGTAGGGTTATGGAATTACCCAAAAATAAATATGAGCATTGGGAAGCTAAGTTTATAGATGGCCTTCCCTCCTTATTTGCTAAGAGAGTGAGAAAAGTTTTAAGGGGTAGTTACGAAGAAATTTCGTATAAGAATTATACCTATGACATACTTATAGGAGTTTGTACACAAGAAGGATTAAACTTGTGTAATAAGCTGAACTATCTAGACAGCTGAAGATAGATAAGGTTAAAGAGAAATCAAAATTAGGAGATTTCTGTGCCCAATTCGATTTACCCGGAACTTCCACCCATAGTAAGAAGAAGAAAAATAGATATCATAGGCATCCTAACCCTGATAGCCCGTATAAGAAAAAGAGGTCTAGACATAGATCTAAGGAAGAGTGTGATGCTAGAAAAGCTTATCGTAAATCTACTAGATTTGCGAAGAATAGATCTAAGCGAGATCTTGCTGACATTAAGTGCTATAAGTGCGGAAAATTTGGTCATATCGGCCCAAATTGCAAGCTTCAAAAGCTGAAGACCTTAGAACTAGATGATGAGTTACGTGATAAGGTTTATAGCTTGTTATACACTTCTGGATCAGAATCTGATTATAGTTCTAAGACTTATTCCGAAGCTGAAGTTGATTTACTTGATTTATCTGATAGTGATAAAGATATTGATAATACTTGCACAGCTTGCAAAAGTGATATATGCACTTGTGATGATGATGAATTTTATAAATTGCAATCACAATTTCAAGATTTGAATATGAAAACTATTACATCTGATTAATAGATCATTTAAAGGAAGTTACTGATGAAAAACTTCGTGAAAAAATTATTAATTTGGATGCAAGTTCTTCTAGTAGTTCAAAACCTTTTGAAAAACAAAAGAACGAATTTGAATATTCTACGGCTTATTCTTTGTCTAAAATTAATAAACGTCTTCATAAGACCAGTACGCCAAGCAGAGATGCTTCTTTTGATGACTTAAAGGTTGAAATCGAAAATTTGAAAAGGGATATTAAGTTTCTTAAAGAAAATCAAATGATTTGTGATCACCGGATTACTTAAATTATGGAAAATAATTCTCTAACAGATTTTTCGACTAATGGAATTTTTGAATTTTCAAATGACAAGGGAAAAGGAATTTCTGATAGTAAAAATCTGATTGATGAAAAGTCTGACATGTTTTTAGGTATGATGCAAATTATTACTGCTCATAAATGGTACGTTAAATGAACTATTTTGATTGATAATATATTTTCTATAACTGATATAGTCATGATTGATAGTGGAGCAGATGTAAGCTGCATCCAAGAAGGACTTGTTCCTACTAAATATTTTCAGAAAACTGCTCATTTGGTAAAATTTGCTTCTGGTCATGCTTTAGATATAGAGTATAAACTACTGAATACTCATATTTGCAAAAATAAGGTCTGTATTCCTCACTTCTTTTTGGTAAAAAATCAGTTATACCCTCCAATTATACTTAGAACTCCTTTTATTAATGTTATTTATCCTTTTACTAGCATAGACTCGAATGGTTTTACTGTTATTTATTAGGATAAAAGGATAAGTTATTCTTTTGTTACAGATCCCGTAACTAGAGATATTAATACTTTGATTAATATGAAGTAGAGACATGTTGATTCCTTACAATTAAAAGTATTGAGTTTGAATATATTCGACACTTTACAATCTGCTAAAGTCCAGCAAAAGATTAAATTGATTGCTGAACAAATGGCTGTTGATATTTGTGTCGATCATCCTAGTGCCTTTTGGAATCGGAAAAGGCACATTGTCACTCTTCCTTACGAAGAAAACTTCTCCGAGGATGATATTCCTACTAAATCTCGACCGTGCCAGATGAACGTTGAATTGGTCGAATTCTGCAAAAAAGAGATTGATAGTTTGTTACAAAAGGGTTTGATAAAGCCTTCAAAATCTCCTTGGTCTTGTTCGGCATTTTATGTGAATAATGCTGCAGAAAAGGAACGTGGCGTTCCTAGATTGGTTATAAATTATAAACCTTTGAATAAGTATTTGAAATGGATTAGATATCCTATCCCCAATAAAAGGGATTTGCTATCTAGATTATATGACGCCAATATATTTTCAAAATTTGATTTAAAATTTGGATATTGACAAATTCAAATTTTTAAAGAGCATACTTATAGGACTGCTTTCAATGTTCCATTCATTCAATATGAATGGAATGTCATGCCCTTCGATTTGAAAAATGCCCCTTCTGAATTTCAGAAAATAATGAATGATATTTTCAATCCTTACCTGGATTTTATCATCGTTTACATTGATGATATATTAGTATTTTATAAAACTTTTGAGATGCATATTAAGCATCTTGATATTTTTAAAAAAAATTGCTATACAAAATGGTTTAGTTATTTCTAAACAAAAAATGAGTTTATTTCAAACTGATGTTCGATTTTTAAGTCATAATATTTGTCAAGGAAAGATTACTCCTATACAGAGATCGATTGATTTTGCTTCAAAATTTACTGATGTAATTAGTGACAGGACTCAACTACAGAGATTTTTGGGAAGTTTAAATTACATATCTCCTTTTTATAAGAGTTTATCTCAAGATTTAGCCCCTGTATACGATAGGCTGAAAAAGAATTATAAGCAACCTTGAACTGACCAGAACACTATGTTAGTCAATTATATTAAACAACGTGTTAAGTCTTTACCTTACTTAACTCTTGCTAATCCTGCATGGCAAAAAATTATTGAGACAAATACGTCCAACATTGGCTATGGTGGGATTTTGAAACAAGTGAATCCCAGCAATAACTGTGAATATCTGATAAGATTTCACTCGGGAAAATGGACTGAAGTCCAGAAGAAATATGCTAATGTGGCTCATGAAATGTTGACTATTGTTAAATGTGTTTTGAAATTTCAAGACGATTTATATAATCAAAAGTTTTTGATAAAAACTGATGCTCAATCTGTTAAGTATATGCTTGAGAAAGATTTCAAACATGATGCTTCAAAATTAACATTTGCCAGATGGCAAGCCCAACTAGCGCCTTTTGATTTTGAAATTTTATACAAAAAAGAAATTGATAATTCTCTTCCGGATTTCTTATCCCGTGAATACTTAGATTAATTATGAATTTCTACACAACTTTTCTCGATGAAGAATTTTTAATCACTATTCTTAAGGTGGTTAAGTTAAATAGAGACTTACAAGGTATCATAATTGAAAATAATCATTGATAGTATGGTTGAGGATGAATTTTCAATTCATGATTATTCTGAAGAAATCAGGGATGATATGTAAGATTATTACTTCTCTAAATAAACTAAATTATTATATGTGCAGAATGGACCCTTCGTAGGCCAGAGGCAGAGGAAAAGGAGGAACATCACCCTCCTCCTCAGAAAGTTCATACTCGCAAGGATTGA